AGCCGAGAGACGAGAGAGAGAGTGTGTGTGAGTGTGTATGTGTGTGTGTGTTTGTGCGCGTGTGTGTGTGCGCGCGCTTGTGTGTGTTTTGTTGGTGTTGTTGTTTTTCTTTTTTTCATACACATTATATCCTACTCCTGAATAGATGGAGTCAGGGAAACATCAACCACCTACGGCATCCCCCTGACCCAAGCTCTCCGGATGGCGACGGAGAGACGTCTCTTTCTTCCCGCGACAGAAGCGGCGGATAAAAGTAAAACAAAGTAAGTATTAACCTTACACAAAATGACCGTTTTTGTGTCGATGTGATGTACTTCTCATTTTTACTCAGATAAACGAGTGTCCCGTCTCATCCTTCCAACGCTCGTCATGCATGGGGAAATATTGAGTTATATAATTTGCTATAGCCTACTTATGGACAGTGCATTCACGTTCTAACATATATCCAGAATACCAGGACACAAGTATAGTGTATAGGCACCTTGGTATAGATTTGGGCCATATCGTCCGGTGTGATCCCCAAATATTCAGCTGGTATCATCTTCCTCTCTTTGTAGAAATGTTTGTTCCCTCCGTGCGCGACGTCTTTGGTGCGAACATATTCAATGTGTCGATTCTAATAGTAGTAGTAAGTACCTCTCCAGGTTTTTGTAATATGTGAGGCAGCGTGGTGGAATCGGGCTCTCGTCAATTTTGGGGCATGTAGAGTTATTGGTATCTTCTTAAAGCTGTTTCACTTGTGTTTATTTGGATGAAAAAAATATCCATGTATCTTGAATACAAGTCAAGATATTTGCGAATGAAGGAGGTGGTGGTCGCCTGTTTTCAGAGGTAAAATTAGAGAGAAAATGGCCGCCAAAGATTAGTTATTTCCTCAGCTTAAGAGTCCGTGGTAACTAAAACGTTACATTTTTGTGTGCCTTTAATCAACGTTTATCAGAAAAATCAACACAGAAATGAATTCTTTAATGGGCATGAAAGGTGTTGAGCCAAAAAACAAAAATTTGATAAAAATTCACAAACCAGAAGAAAAATGCAAGTTTCTTCACTTTGATTATTTTGACGAGAGCCTGATTCCACCACACTGCCTCACATATTTTATAAGGCTCCTCTGCAGAATGGTTTTCTCTCCGCATTGCCAACCCCGCGTCCTTGGGCGTGCCCCGCCCCCCTCCTCCGTAGGAAGCCCACCGTCTTCCTGTGTTGGGTGTGATTGACGATCTTGCTGATACATGTATCTTTATACTGTTGTTTCTTTTTTTTTCTTCGTTTGCGATGCAGCCACTGTAGTAAAATGAAAGTACAAAACAATAATATACACTGTATATAACCGTATGCCACGGAGGATGCCCACCGCCAACGCTTCTCCCTTCCAAATGGGACACCAGGCATACCATTGGCTTTTAGTACATGTCGTATGATCTAGAGCCTTTATCTTAACACGAAGTGGCCTAAGCTGCCCCCGTAGGATTATGCGATTGTGCGGCCCCGTTTTTTAGCGCAATTCTGCAACATTTGTATAATATATACAGTATATATTACACAAAA